TTTATTTTAAAATGTTGGTAGAAAAAAATTGAGTTTCTTCCAAAAGAAAGGCTTCGCAATTCCGATATTTATTCTTTTGGTACAAGCAATATTCGTTTTAAATCTTTATAAAATAAATGTATTTTAAAAATATTTTTATACCTTTTTATTTTTTTTCCTTTACAATATGGGTTTAGTTGCGTAAATTATGACAATACACGTGTAATACATTTTTTAATTACTGCCGTCGAAGATACTGCCAGGGTATAGCACCCTCACCGTTAAAATAATCACAAAATTCGTTTCTGATATTTATAGCAGCTCGGGAAGAATTGTTACTGCCACAATTACCAAGATCTGTCAAGGCATGACTGCTATCCATTTCCTTCCTCCAATTTCCAGGAATAAAACTATTAGGTCCATCACAATCAATCATATCCGCAGAAATATATTCATTTTTGTCTAAATCTTGTTTTCGAAGCCAATTATGAATGCAAATGATGGCTTGAACAATTTGCATTGTGTTTTTTACAGTAGCATCTATAGGCTTTTTCAATATTCTCCATTGGCTCACGAGAATTCCAAACGTATTCTCGATTGTTCTACGAGCACGACTGAGGCGATAATTATAAATATTTTTTTCGTGATTAAGTCCTCCTTTTCCTGGATATGGTCTTAGCAAAAAATCAGTTAGTTGGAATGCCTCATCGGCAACAAGAACATATGGCATAGGATCACCATCAACTGTGAGTTTCTCAGGTTCTGGCAGTCTCATTTCTTTATTATAAAATTTCTGGCCCACAATAGAATCTCGGAAAATTCCGCCATCACTGCGCCGGCCATAAGCTCCGATATCGACAAATGTAAACATATAGTTGGCATCACATATCCCAAGCAGTACAATACTATGATAGTTCTTGTAGTTGTAATATAAAGAGCCAGCGTTATGGGGACACTAAAACAAATGGAATTATATAGCTCGCCAGTCGCCATAGTTAGATAACGTCAAATAAAAGAAATAGCACCGTGTACCTGAATAGCAATGTGTTTCCCATCAATTGCGCCAATACAATGATTGAAATTCCACCGATCTTCAAAATTTTGTGCGATATTGAGCCAATCCTCCTTACTTAATGGAAAAGGAAGCACTTCTTTCGCAAGGCAATCCCACAATGCTGCACATGTCTCGGCAATAATGTTTGACACTGTCGTAAATCCAACAAGATACTGGTATGACATGGAGTTCATTGAATCACCACTAGTCAAGTATCTGAAAAAAGATTCCGTATCTAATATTAACTATGAAAAGAACGCATTCGATTCAACATATCCAGCTTACCTTAATGTCATGGATAACCGTGCTGCAGCAGGTATGGGATCTCGAGTCACAGTCTGTTTTGTGATATAAGGTGCAACCAAAGCCAACAAGTCCTCAAATTGCGATAATGACATCCGCATGTAATTTTGATACTTACAAGGGGACACTACGGCCTGGGAAATGAAGTTCGGAACGAGGTTTCGTGTGGTGGTAGTTTACCCTTAGGGTGTTAATATACTTAAATATTAGGGCGCACTAATCAGCCAGTTTCGAGAAAAAAGGGTTCAAAGTTTTCGAGCACCTTACATACGGAAAAGTTATTCCTCTATCCAAGTGGTCCGGCGGCTCAGGCGGTAGCGTGCTTGCTTCACGAGCCTGAGGTAGCGGGTTCGATTCTCGGCTGTCGCAACTTTTTTTTTATCCGAAAAATTATTTAATGTATATTTTTAAATTTATTTATGGAAACCGTTTTTTTTCGCGAAATTTTCAATTTCTAACATTTTTCATATATATTTTTATTATTACAAGTACATATTTACGTGGTAATAAAGTTTTTTCAGCGGAATATTGTGTATGGAAAAAATATAAAATTCGTTTCATGCAAATAATAAAATAAAACAAGAATAATATTCATAATCTGTTACACATATTTATTGTTAAACTATAATGATGTACAGGAACCAGAATGATAATTGTCATAGAAGCATGGAAAACAAAAGTTCTTTCGACAATTCGCACAACAAATATGCTTCTATGACAATTATCATTCTGGTTCCTGTACATCATTATAGTTTAACAATAAATATGTGTAACAGATTATGAATATTATTCCTGTTTTATTTCATTATTTGCATGAAACGAATTTTATATTTTTTCCATACACAATATTCCGCTGAAAAAACTTTATTACCACGTAAATATGTACTTGTAATAATAAAAATATATATGAAAAATGTTAGAAATTGAAAATTTCGCGAAAAAAAAACGGTTTCCATAAATAAATTTAAAAATATACATTAAATAATTTTTCGGATAAAAAAAAAAGTTGCGACAGCCGTGAATCGAACCCGCTACCTCAGGCTCGTGAAGCAAGCACGCTACCGCCTGAGCCGCCGGACCACATGGATAGAGGAATAACTTTTCCGTATGTAAGGTGCTCGAAAACTTTGAACCCTTTTTTCTCGAAACTGGCTGATTAGTGCGCCCTAATATTTAAGTATATTACCACCCTAAGGGTAAACTACCACCACACGAAGCCTCGTTCCGAACTTCATTTCCCAGGCCGTAGTGTCCCCTTG